CATCGTGTGATGGGCTCCATCAGGCTCCATCCTGGAAGTGTCTTAGGACAGCACCTAAACCCCATGTGATGAGATCCATCTAACTCAGTGGTTCTCAACCTGGGGTCCCCAGATGTTTTTGGCCTTCAACTCCCAGAAATCCTAGCAGCTGGTAAACTGGCTGGGATTTCTGGGAGTTGTAGGCCAAAAACATCTGGGGACCCCAGGTTGAGAACCACTGATCTAACTCTTTCTAACTCTCAGTTTTCCACTCTCAGTTTTCCTTCCTGTTTTTAATAAATTACTCTTGTTTCTAGGGCCCGTTCAGCCTCTTAAGCTGAGTGGCTTAAGTGACTATGAAGAATATATATGATTTTTTAAAACAATCAATAAATCAAGATATTAATGGCATGGAATCCACTCCCAAACCAGCTCTACTCTTGCTCCCATTTAAGCACAGTCTTTCCCCAGATCCACATACAGCTTTAGATTTTACCACAAACAATGTTATATACCAGAGTACATAAGACTTACACTGTAACAATTATTTACATAGTAATGGTTTTGCTGTACAACAGCATTATCTTTACTTCACCACATAATGTAAAAGAAAGGGGTGGTTTTAACCTGGGATGGAATTATACTTCGATCCTTCATGAATGCAACTTAAAACTTCTGTTTTAGATCAAATAGAGAACAACCTTTCAAACAAAAGTAAAGGAACTGGTTTGTGTACTGAAATGTGTTGCATTCCAGAGCTAAAATGGTTATATATCGCAACACTTCCTCAATGCTGCTCTTCCAAATGTAATCCTTAACTCCATATCATTCAAGCAATGGACTAGAGGCCATACCAGATCTGTATCTCCCTGCCTTTTCAGTTATCTCTTGCAAGTCTTCTAGCTTATTTTGTGCTTACCAGTGAAACCACTCTAATAACATGTCTCTGATATCTGTCCTATCACTTTCAGTCTTGGAACTTGTTGAGTTTATCCATTCTGGTGCACAGCCATGCTCCATCAACTTTTTCTGCATTTCTTCTACCCTACACTCATTTTATAGCTGGTTTTTTTTCCATTTTATATATATTTCTTTCCTAATGCCTTATTCAAAGCATTGGCTCAGCTCCACTTCTTAGCTCAAACTAGAGTGCCTAGCTCCAGTTTGATTTACATGTTGACTTATCTTTCAACAATTGGGTCAATGGGATTACTCTGATTGGAACTAACCATTGGGGTCACTATACCTACCTAAACAGTTAGACATATTATGTTTTTTAAACTGTTCAGATATAGCCTATCTGATCAGTTTAAAAACCTTTGATATGCCATATTTCACTGTCTTGTAAAACTTGTGTCTACTATCTGCTTTTTTAAATTTATGCATCTTCAGTTTTTTTAAAAAAAAAATTCCATATTTTAAAATTGGTTTAAGTGTAATGTGTGCATTTGAGATAGTACTGCAATATGACTTTAGCCAACAGAAGGACAAAAAAACCAAAAGAAAACTAATACTACAACACTCCATTACTACTGTCATATAATCATGTTGATTCTAAATCCATACAACAAGGAACACAGCCAGTGTGGTTTCAATTTTGTCAATGAATTCCCATTCAATACCTAAAGACAACTCCTTTCTTTTTGTGACCATCCCTAACATCTGCCATAAGGATCTTGACAAGCCAACTAATTAGGAACTATTTCCTACAATCATATATGATTTGTAGTGCCAAATTCATACCTGCCTGTTGCTAATTTTCTGAAACACAACAGATTTCAACTGCTCTGGTTAAAAGGTAGAAAAAGAGGCAAATTGAGACAGGAGTCCCATAGCCTCAGGGTGATGAAGAAAGGCTATGAATATTATTGCCATGACAATCTTCCAAGACTATGGGGAACCAGCTGTTCTTCAAACTCTTTATGATGATCAGTAACACTACCATGGCCTTTGAGTGTTGGCTGGAGAATCTGGGGCCACAGCACCCATCCCTTGGCTAGAATTGCCTGTAGGTCCATCTTTTGGCCACCAGTTGCCCTAAACTAGGAAACATGGAATCAATGCCTAATCCTCAGAGAACATGGTTTTCATTCTACCATGCCTAACAATGTTCCAGCAATTCATAGAAGCATTTTCCTCAAATAACGTTTTAAAATTTACATTTCCCATGAGGCATGCAACTCTTTTAATACAATTAATAAAATAATATATTCCATAATGGAGATATAGCAAAACATATTGCACATCCTCACAGAAAACCATTTAACAACTTCTTTTGACCAATAAAATTTTCTGCAAAACAAATGTTGACTATATAAACCCTTCTAACAATTCTTTTGTTCTAGAATAAACTCTACGCTATCTGATCATCCTCCTGGAAGAGTTCAAAATTTATTGCAAGGCCAAAAGCAAACAAACAAACCCAAACTACTTTAGCACATAACCAAACTGTAGTAATGATTCTGAATATTATGTTTCACCTACAGTTCAACACACAGCTGGTCTAATTTAAGTCTACATTTTATCATGTTCCTCAGCGGGTTATTTGTGAAGTAATGCAAACAATGCTCACCCTCACCATTACCTTACTTTGTTTACTGCCTCTAACCTTCAACATTATAATGTTCTATTAATATTATTTATGTTTCAACATAATTCTGGTCCTTGCAGTTATATTTCTTTTAAAAATAAGAACCTGTGCATGAATTTATACATTCTAGTAAAACATATGCCATGGAAACTGCTCACTTAATTCCAATGCAGTTTGGCCTGGACATCTACTCCAGAAGATTACTTCATCACGTTTGCATACATTCTTCACTTTTCCCTGTCTATCTCAGGAATAATCTCATTTAAGTCTTTTAAGAGACTCATGAGGTAGGTGAGGCTGGAAGAGACAATTTAACGAAGACTTCCCAATGAGCTCCAAGTCTGAGATGGATAAGAATCCAAATCTTTCTACTCCACTTCTAAAAGCCATGACACTCTAATCAAAGCTAGTTCACTTACAATACTCAGATGTCATGAACATATTATTGTTTTACTCCTCCTATGCTAGTATTACAGACTCTATATGAAACATGGGCCTCTGAGCTAAGAGAAGCATATTTTCTCACAACAACCAATGTCAATAGTAGTGGATGCTGTTCATTTAATCTCTGTGGTACTTTCTCCACATTCATATCAGCTCTTCATCTTTAACAATCATAAATTACCAGCATGGGAACCATTTCAAATATTATGATCTGTAATTACTTTTTTAAGTTTCTCCATTGATAATTTTAGAAGATTTGATAATGATGCTCAACAGGCTCTTTTTGGGAAATGTATGACCATTTAATAGTAAATCAACATAGACATTATGAATAAAGCTGGAGTAACAAATTGTATATACAGTACTAGGGGTTTTTTACCTGCTAAGATATTTTTTTTAAAAAAAAAAACAAACCTTCTATCAAGTGAGGATTCTGTCCCATATTAACTAATTCACTCATTAATATGTAAAACCCTGCTTTAGCCAACAAAATTTGTAATACTACTCAAGTCAAAATGACATGGCTATGGCATTAAGATATATGTAGCTATACAAATCTATTCACAGCATTTATGGAGGAGGAAAAAGTAGACTTTCCCCCACTTCACAAAACCAAACAAAGTTTCAACTACATCACTTAAAACAGCTCAAATGGGTGTGGTAACTGCAGCGTCAACAGGTGTTTTTGAAAGATAGCCTGGATATCTACGGCAGAATTCCCTATTACGTGAGAAAGAGTTAACAAAGCTCAAGCATTTTAGAAGTGCTGTGCAGTTGGCAGCATTTGATCTTCAGATGGCTTCCAAATTAGTATGTAATGAGTGAAGAGGAATTAATCATGCAATGCTGAATACATTCATTTTAATAAATTAGATAGTGTAATATTTGTATTTAACCACTCATTGTCACAGCCTTGAGCCACGATTGGCTGGCATCTGTGCTCCATCTGACAGAAGCAGATTGGTATTCTCTCCACACGTCCTCTCAATTCCTGTCGTCTGCGTTTGCTGTCCTTTACACATTACATACGCACAATGCATTATTTACTCAACTATAAACCTTTCAGTAATGTTCATAAGCAGCACCTTCCATATGCAAATACACAGCAGAGTTATAGCTAGATGCAATAGCATGATGCAGACATAAGTCTTGCCTCCCTTGAAATACCCAGGGGAGGGAGGGGGTCTGGATAGCCCATCTGAATGCTGCAGAAAAGGTTCCCTGACACATTTTCCCTTCCAGATGCTTCATTCACTATTTATGCTTATTTCATCAGATGTAATATCTACTTTAGTATGTCTTCCGTGTCTGCTGTAGTAACTTCACATTTAAAACAGCTGCTAAATAACTGCATTGTGAACTGCAAGTATGACTGAGGACAGACCTCAGTAGACTTATGTGTTTGTACTATGCAGAAATATTTTCCTTTAGAACCAGTTATTTATTTAAAAGGATGCCATTATCAGCATAAACATATATTTCAAGTACAGTCAGAATGAACTAAAGCCCCCTAGTTTAGATAGCAGGCAATCTTATTCTTTCCCCATTTATTAAATGATTCAATCTTGCAGTATGCCAGCAACTAATTAGTATGATCAACACAGTGCTGGACATGAGCAAGGACACACATCTCCTTCTGAGATGTAAAGAGCCTGGAAAGTGTTTATTTCATATATCTAGTCCAGAAACGTCTTCTTAAAACACTCTTACACTAATTAGTCCCTTGACAGAACTTTGATTTTCTGCTATTGCATTCAAAGTCATTTGTGGCAAGGCCTGTGACCAGATAAACGGACAAGCGGATGTTTTTGCTCTTTTAAGTCATAGGCATTTAACTCACTTTCTTCCAAGCAATATTATACACAGCTGAACACAAGATGAATAACAGGGTGCCTCCAAAGAAGGACCGTAGTGACACAGACAGAGAAGAACACAGACATAGATATACTCATGCACAAGCACACATTTGTTGAAGTAATATACTCACCATGAGAACTGCAAAGTTACCGAAGTGAGTACTATGAAGGGTCGTAATATTTTCTGCAGTGCTAATTATGTGGCACCCTTCTCCCCACCAGCCTCCATGTCCATCTAGAAGGTCAAAATCCCAAAAGACTGCAATGGGGTTTCTACCCTGTGTAAAGTGCTTCAAGGCTATAGTAAGAGGACTAGTCAGTTTTCCAGTACTGCACCCATCTGCAAAAGGAACAAACTGAATTAGAGCAATGAAGTGGAAAATGCTTTATTGCTACATGGTCTGTACAGAAATTCTTAATGTTTTGTACACACAGACACTGCCGTCTCTCTGGCTTATCCCACCATCCAGGCAAAACAGAACCAAAATCCCTGCTCTCTTCTCTATCAGCATAAAAGCCATCGACAAAAGTTTGGAATAGTTAATATCCACAATTTCCAGGTTGCTCAGCTAGTCTTCAAATCATAACCACACTCATTAATAAACCAGACTTGCTGTGTATATGCCCTGAACAAAAATGTCAACAGAGTATTATTTTGAGTAACAGTAAAATAAAATAAAATAATTCAAATTTTATTTGATATGATTCATATCTAGGGCAATTTCCCAGTACAAAACTCAAAGTAAAGCCTCCTAAATTGTGAACGCAACTCAAGATCAAATAAAATGTTTAAAACTGCAAGAACTGAATGTTTAATCAAAAAGAAAAATCTGTAAATGAGTACTTTCACCTTTAAAAGCACCTGTTTCAGATTTATCATTTGAAAAGCTACACTGAGGACTATGAATATATATATGCAACAGGACCCCCCCCCCCCCCCACAATCCGACACCACTTGCATCAATCTTAAATTGTGATTTTCCAGGATTAAGTCTTCAATGCCTATGGTCAAGATTTTTAAAAGCCTTATTCCTCTTTCTCCACACATGCTATCTTGACTTTGCTTAGCAACTTCAATAAGCAACATAAATAAACCTACAAAGGGAGAATTGAGTGTTGACAGCTACGCAGCTTCATTGCTGCCCAAGTTTATTTGAATAAAACTGCACACATTTGGGTTAAAGCAGAGGCAATCTCACATCAGCATACCTGTGCTTCACTGCACCATCCTTTTAATATACTCTAATGTATAGCCAAGCATTCAGATTAAAGAAGCAAAGCACAACACTTACCTATTTTAATGAAGACAACTGGAGTGCCAATGGTCCTGGGCTTCCCATAATCTGCAAGGTTAGATGAGTTTGCAGTGCTTGGGAAGAGTTTTCCATTCCGAAAGGCAATAAACTGTAGCTTGCAAGAGGAGTTATCAACAGATTGCAACGGTGCAGATGAAGAGAAGACAGACCGTGGCAAATGAACTGAAGCTACTGCCACAGCGTTCTGTACAATGAGAGGAAAAAGAGAAAATTTAAAATGCAAATCGCAACAGGGTTGCTTTCATTATGTTTTAAACTCCGGGACGAGAAATGTACGCTTCCTCTCTTTTCCAACATACTCGAAGCAACCAAAGGAGCAGAGCTGTAACCATGGGAATAGGATTGGTACAGTGCATATTAAAACAGAAAACGTTTTGATTGAATGTGAGAGTCGGTCTGGTCAAGCTCCCTGCTGCAGAGGTGAGAATGGTTCTTACCATGCCTGCTAGAGGGTCCATCAAGACTGCAGAACCGATTTAAAGAGACAACCTCTACCAGGTTTTCTCCTTCACTTGAAACAGAATCAGACAACTTACATTAAAACATATCTTCCTGAAAGGGTAATTAAAGGGGACTAAAATGTGTTTTATTAATACAAAGAACTGCATCAGAGGATGACTCTAAACACAGAGGTATGCAATGCAGTCAGCTTCCTAGACTATGATTTCATGCTGAAGGAAAATCATTCATCTCACTGTTGCAAGAAATGTGAATTACATATATTTAACAGGAATGCATCGGTGGATAGAGGGAAATCTATAAAGCCTGCCTGACTGCAAGAAAGGGACAGAGTTGTGATAGTGTGTGATATGTTTTGCAGATTCTTGAAACAAACTGCATGCGTGTACACCATTAAATTATTAAACTGGTTTGCCTCCTACTACTTAACTCCTCTTTCTTTTATACAAGTGGTGACCTTGTCATAATTAAGCCCAGAGGCATGTATGAAAAGGCGCACAGTGGGAGGGGGAAGAGAGAGAGAGAGAGAAAGAGAGGGGGAGATGAAGCAAAACAAAAAGGAAAACAGAGATGAAATAAGAGGCTGCCCTGAAATTTACAAACTCTTGTATAACAACAATAGACATGAAGACAGAATAATTTTCAAATGCTCAGCAGCCAGACTGAGTTTCTGTGGCACTTCATTAATATCCACTGTCCTACTGCATTTTGGAAAAACAACAACAACAACAACAACAACAACAACAACAAAAGAAACCTTGAGATCATATAAACATGTATGAGATGACAATATTTATTCTTAGCTGTGATAAACTGACATGTAAACAAGAAGTCACCAAGCTTGAAATGTCCCCAAAGGCACAGACAGCATCATGATGATTCAAATTTTAGTGTTTACAACATGATGATGATGATGATGATGATGATGATGATGATGATGATGGTGGTGGTGATGATGATGTGGTAAAGACTAAAATTTGAATTGTCAATAGCAAAAAGGGAGGTAATTCAGAGGATATTTATGCTAACAATTCCACTTTGAACTAAGGGAAGGCAAAACACACATATGGCTTTCCTTTGTAGATAAATCAGTGCATAAATACAAGATTTTTTCCCCACTCAGTCTTGTTGTTGATTCAGTATCAAGTGTTACCAACTAAAGTTTTGACCACCATTGATTCAGATTCTAGGAATTAGTGAAATCATGTTTCATGACAATGACCACCACCACTGCCATTACTTTACCTTGTAGAATCATAGAATAACAGAGTTGAAAGGGGTTTGTGGGCCATTGTGTTAATCCCTGCCTCAATGCAGAATCTCCAACTAAAGTATCTCTAGCAGGTAGCTGTCCAGCCTCTTTTTGAAGATTCCAGAATAAGCGACCCTACAAACTCTCTAGGCATTTGATTCAGGTGGTTACTGTGTGGCACTATTAAATGGGAGTAACTAGCTACTTACTTAATTTACTCTTATATTTTCGAATGACAAAAACTTGTGTTTTTGCCACAGATACCAGAGCAAAAATGCCCTAGAACACTTCTGGATTTTTACCCTACATACTGTTAAGTCCACTTTATGATTTGCTGATGAATGAAACTGGCAACCGATTGCTAGATGAAGCAAATGCATTCCCACAACTGAGGGGCAGGTCAAGAAGGACTATGTTGTCCTCAGAACAAGACTGATGAGCAAACTACTTAGCAAGTGGTTACATGCTCACTGAGGTAAGATAGTACTTGATCAATTTCCAAAGCAATTGGACTTAGGGCTCATTAGTCTTGATTATTGCAAAAAGCATTTTGTCAGAGAAAGATGAGAAGGATGAGGACAGGCAGATACCTTAAGTGTGGCTCAATCAGCAATGGAAAACCAGGAGGTTTGCAAGGTGATTTTCCTACCAGTACCAGTCTTATTGTACAGTCCTGGGTGCAACATTCTCTCTCTCCATCACCACTTGGCTTAATGCACATAAATATATGACTTGGATTTTTTTGGTCCCTTTTAATCCTTTCTTACCAGTTGCTAATAAGTTTCCATGGGTGGGAAGTTTTGGCTCTTTAGTGCCCGTATTCCCTTACAGTTGTCATGCTAGATGGTATTTTCTAGGCTTGAAATGTAAAATTTCTCAGATTTCTCCTAATGAACTGCTTAGCCTTCAAGTACTAAACATTCATTACCCTAAACCCAATTGTTACTCCCCAAAACAGTTGACCAATTAATCAATGAATGAAAACTTAGTAACACCTCTGTACAGTCTGTTGATTCACTGGGTCTACTCCGTCCATCCACAAATGTATGCATCCACCCATCACTCATCTATTGATCTTATGGAAAGTATATTGAAAGTATTTTTAAAATGGTTAAAAGTAATATTTTTTGACTGTTGAAAAGACCTATCAAGAAGAATCCTGGATTGAAAAGAATATCAACAGTTCAAGATTTATTCTGCACAAATTTGCACATAGTTGTTTGTACAGAAAACAGAATGTTTTGCACAGAATATTCTTTTTGCTAATTATTATGTTCGCACAAAAAAATGTGATTTTGCAGAAAATTTGCACATGGTTGATTTGCACAAAAGCCAGTGTTTTATACACAGGAACCAGCGTGTCTGTAATATTTTTATGCAAATTGCTGTTTCTTGGGCTGAAAAATGCTCTACGTTTCTATATAAAACAACCATATGCAAATTTTGTACAGAAGAAAACCCCAAATTGAAAATAGGCTTTGAAAACGATTTTATTTTTTCATATATATATATATATATATATATATATATCCTTTCACCAATTCAAAAAACATTTTAAGAAACCCTTTACTGCTGGATTAAAACTATTCACTTCTGAAAATAAATGCCTAGAAATTAATTGATATTTATTTCCACAATGCTTTGGCATGCATATCTGTTATTCACTTGAATATTTAGATCTGCCTTAATTTTCCAAAACCTGGTGTTACTCAGTTAAGAGATACCTGATTGGTATCAATACCAAGAGAAAACTGGGAATCAAGAGATACCCAGTTTTCAATTGGAAAGGAAAATATATCTTTGGAGTTGAAGGTCTCTTTCTAAGTATCATCCTTCAGCAACATATAATTAAATTACTATTTTCCCACATACCAGAACCAAAGCTATGGCATATTTGGCAACAAGGAGTACTCCACATATTACCAGTTCTGGAAGAACAATATAATATAATCAAAGAGCAAAGTAATTTCATATGTTTTAAGAAAAGCATGTTTGAGAAGTATAGGTAAGAAAACATGTAAATATGCTTTCTGCTTAGGATGCAAATCTCAATTTTGTTTTTGCATATGTGAGAATGGAAATGTTCATATTTTTTTCTTGCAAGGTATGTCTAAAAGAATATTTGCATATTTTCGATTATAGTTCACATTTTTTGCATTTTCTTTCAAATAATTACATTTTTCAGCAAAAATATTGTATTTTGTGCAAAACACTGTATTATATGCAAAATGAATAGATCGGAAAAACAAAGCATTGGTTTTTTGCTTTTTTGTTGGATGGAAAATCTTGAGTAAATTTGACATTTTTTGTGAGGAAAAAACGATTGAAGATTAAATCAAAGTAGTCTTCATATCACTTATTACTTCTAAAGACAGAACAATAAATAAAGTTCTTTCCCATTTCTGGCACTGAGGCAACAGAACAACTTCCCATGTTCTTAATATTGCTTGCACTCTTGTTATTGATTATAAACATTGATTTTCTTTTCAAATGTTTTAAGTTTGTCAAAGATCTTAAATGAAATATATGTATCGTCTAACCATTTTTCTCACATCAGACAGCCACGAGTAGTTTATTAAGAATTTATTAAAAAATAACAAATAATGTGATTAATTTCTTTCTGCAAGAATTGAGGCAAAATTAAATTGGCTCAGAGGATGACCTTAATGTTGTGCATCTAGTTGAAGGAAAAAAACGAATGTATCTGTTCTATTCTACCTGATTTCCATCAGTATGGAAATTATTGTCTTGTATGGAGAAGCTACAACACAAAAAAGGTGAGTTGGGGAGTTTTGGCTCTTGTGTTATCAGAATTTTGATCTTCACAACAAAAAAAGTGGGCTATAATGCCTGACACCATTACAACCACTAACAGGAAATCAGCCTATCTTAATTAATTTTGAATAATATAAAAGGGTAGACTTGTTTTTTTTAAAAAATCATTTAGAGGTACTAATTGAGTCCTATAGCTGTAACTAATTATACAAACTAATTTGTAAAATTTCTTCATCTTTGGCAAACAAAACCATGTGTCACAATGTACTTTTTTTTCAAGTGGGTGGGTGTTGTGATAAATTTACTTGCTGCTGTACTGCAGTTTCATTCAAGACAAATGCTTAGGTAACACAATTATAATACAATCCCTTGTATCCCCATTCAAAAATAAGTCCCACTAGCTTCAATAGAACTAACTCTTAAGTAAGGAATCATGGGGACAGCACAGTGGGAAGCTGCAAGGTGACGCTTCCCTACGTGTGATGGGGAGGCATCACTGGGGAATGGGGTCAGGATTGCCCCACTGCCCTGCCATTTGCTACAGAGGCTGGCAAATCGATCCAGGGGATCTCATCAATGTGATTTTTTTTTGTTGTGTCAGGAGTGACTTGAGAAACTGTGAGAGAATTGGCAGTTTGCAAGGACGTTGCCCAGGGGACGCCTGGATGTTTTGATATGTTACCATCCTTGTAGGAGGCTTCTCTCATATCCCGGCATGAGGAGCTGGAGCTGATAGAGGGAGCTCATCCGCGCTCTCCCCGGATTCGAACCTGCGACCTGTTGGTCTTCAGTCCTGCCGGCACAGGGGTTTAACCCACTGTGCCACCAGGGGCTCCACCATCAATGTGATGAGGTCCAGTGTCAAAGCGGAAAGATCCTTGAACAAATCTCACTCTTCCTATGATGTTGCTTGCCTTCCTTTCAAATACTGACTTCCATTTATTTTCATGCAGAAAGAAAAGCCAAAACTTGGCACAAGCGTGTAGGTATGTGGGGGCAAAATGAAGGCACTGCCTCCCCAAGCAAGAGTTCAGCACCACACACACACACCATCTGAAATTTTCCTTCACTTCCCAAATCATCTAGCATTGCAGTAAATGGAACTTCCTTGTAGGATTTAGCAATGTAGTTTAGGTACCCACAGAAAAGGGGCAAAGTTACCAAGAGAATTTGAACTCAGCACACACAAGAGATCTAGATATGAACCATTTCCTGTATATATATCTCTCCAATGTTATAAATTTAGGTAATGAAGGAAGAAATCATTTGAGGAGGTTTAATTCAGCAGGGAAATTATTTAGGAGCACATTTTTTCATTTTGGCCTCACTATATCTATACACGGATGTCCCATTATCTATAGTGTCAGATCAGAGACAACACAGATCAGAGACTTCTCACAGCTGAGATGAAAGAAATCTTTTTTTCCTTCTGATTTTAGACAGCAGAGAGTAGGATGAGAGTAGGATGTATATGCCTTCGAGCCAGTTTATAGTGACCCCATACATTTCATAAGGTTTTCCCAGGCAAGGAATGCTCAAGAGGTGGCATTGCCAGTTTCTTTTCCTGAAATATAGACTACAGCTCCTGGTATTCATTTGTGGTATCATATCCAAGAACTAACCAGGGCTTACCCTGCTTACCAGAATAGTAGTAAGAAATATCTTCTTGCTAGCATTATTCTGCAGGGTGAGAAGGCTAAATGGGAGTTGTGGGTTTTTTTTTTTATCTCCAATCTGGTATTTCCATATGTCCTGTTTCCTTTTCCTGTTAGAAGACAAGGTATTCCTAGTGAAATCTCACCAAATCCAAGGTGGCACTGGCTAAAGCAGTGGTTCTCAACCTGTGGGTCCCCAGATATTTTGGCCTTCAACTACCAGAAATCCTAACAGCTGGTAAACTGGCTAAGATTTCTAGGAGTTGTAGGACAAAACACCTGGAGACGCACAGGTTGAGAACCACTGGACTAGAGGGAAGGTTAGGAGTCAGAGAGACATCTATTTGCCAAAGGTTTCCCTTCCCTTGTCTAAAAAGTGCAAAACCCAATTCAGGAAGAGTAGATAATGTTAGGCAAAGAATGTAGGAAGAGCTAGAGCATTCTTTCTCACCTCATCTTTCCCACAATCTCTTCCTATCCTACCAGACTATCAGGAATATTAATTAAACTATCTATCAATATTTACCATACATGCCCCTTAAATTAAAAGGAGTGCTGGACTTCTTGATTTTTTATGTGTAAAATGACTTGTATGCATGTGTATATATGTGAGCATTCTTTCTGATGGGGCAAATGCAGTGATCATTCAATTCTATCATGTGGTGGAAAGTTGCAAATCGCTTAGATGTATCAGCATTTGACATTATTAGTCAAGTAATTAACATTGAGTGGTCCAATTGGAAAGAACATATACTGAATATATCTATCTATCTATCTATCTATCTATCTATCTATCTATATCACAGAACAGACTTCTAGGTCATGTGTTACATGTAAATTCTCTTTTCAGAATTATAGGTTACATGTAAATTCTCTTTGAGGACATGAGCATGATAAATTATTGTTTCTAACTAAAAGATGCATGTTAAATTAGTGTTTATGAACCTTGGCCAATATCTATTTAAAACTCTCACTGCAAGGGAAAGCATTTCAGTCAGACACACACACACTAATCTCCATAGCTATTCAAAAATATTTTAGTATTGGGACATTGCTAGTTCTAAAGTACAAAAGAAACAAAATCTCTAGCATTATTATACATGCTTCATTAATCTCAATACATAAATGAAAGTCACATGAACAATAAGCTAACAGAGGCCTCCTATTTGAAGAGCTCTCACTGATGAATTGTATAAGCTCTCAGGCAGCTAATCAGCAAGGAAGGTATATCCTTATTTGCTTTCTCTCTTCTGCTCTAATGACATTTGCGAAATAATTTCAAAATATGTCGAAGTGGAAAATTCATATTACTATGTCTGACACACAGACACCTGCCGTGTTTTCAGAAATTGGTTCCTTATCTTTCTAAACCTTGGAGAACCACATGCTTGGTTCTAGCACAGACATTTCAGGAATGAGCCAGCTTTGGCTATAGGGCTTTCGACTCTGTCTTACTACAGATGCTGACACAGCATGCTTGTAGGTTATTTCATCAGTGATAGCACCAATTCATTCACTTCTCTCCTCTTCAGTACATAGGTTATAGAATCAATTCATTCATTTCAGAAAATGTTCAGAGTCATCAACATTTACAGAATCAATTAATGCACCATCCTTTCCCATGAGTGAAAGTGTCTTATCGTTCCATGTAGGAATTAACTGCTTTGCTTGCAACAGATCATTTTAGTCACCCACTATCCTAGCCTAAAGCATCTAAAATGGTTCCTAATGCAGTTTATACTATAACTCGTCACCTCGTAATCAGATGCTTTTTCTCCTTGCTTGCAACCTGGCTTCCAGGCTCTGCCAACCTTCCGATCCACAGTTTGGTTGTGATCCAGAGGGGCACACATGCAATTTTCTGAGAAACTTCCTCTCACTAGCTGTCCCCATTGAGTAAGAAAGAAACAAAAGAGAAAGAGAGAAGGACAGGAAGAAAGGAAGGAAATCCGATTAAGGAAATCTGATTAAATCTATTTATTTATTTGTTTAGCTATAGGTTTTTAAAGATAATCTCCAGGGACTTTTTCATACTACATAGTTATAGTGCTAAGATCCCACTTTAACTGTCATGGCAACATCCTACAGTATCCTGGGTTTATTTCCTACATGCTCTAAAACTCACTTGGAAGAGTTGAGAAACTTCCACTAACAAGTTACCATTTCAATGATTAGATGGAAGAGAGCCTAAAAGATTTGACACTATTGCAAGCATCACATTGGATTAAATCCAGAACAAATACTTTTGCAAATGTCAGTAACACTATTTAATATGGAATTAACAAAGATAAATTAACATTAAATGTATAAATACAATCAACAACAGATCTGGTTGTATATGAGTGACTAGTTAGACCAGTATGTGGGTGGGATGTTCATGTAGCTGAGAGTAATACACATCTAATGTATGTCTACTATTTCTGAAACATGGAATATTAGGCTGTTTCGGTGCATAGATCGGTTTATCAGTCTCAACAAGCAACAAGAGGCAAATTACATGATCTACAATTAATAGCTGAATACAGATTTAAAACCCCCAAGTACTAATTAATGCATCTATGAAGCAAAACAAGAACAGTAAACAAAATAAACTTGTAAGAAAACTGGAAAATTAAAAAATGTTGCTGAAACAAACCAACAAGCGTGTCTTAAAATGAAAAGAGCTTGCATGAAACCACTGTTTGGCTTGACTTCTGTAGAATAAAAATAAGGGGTGCATTGTTGATGCAGGCTTTTTGCATAATCCTTCATACAATACACAGAAATACATCCCATTTATTTAAGTTGTAAGTCTGCTGGAAGAGATAGGACTTTAATTATGTTTTAAATTCTGAAAGCTTGTTTAACTGTCAGATCTCTTCTGTTAAGTCATTCCCCAGTCTAGCTGATGGAACTATCCTCCAGTAAACATCCTCCAGAGGATCTAAGAGCCCTTCCACACAGCCCTATATCCTGGAATATCAAGGCAGAAAATTCCACATTATCAGAGTATGGACTCAGATAACCCAGTTAAAAGCAGATATTGTGGGGTTTTCTGCCTTGATATTCTGGGAGACAGGGTTGTGTGGAAAGGCCCTTAGATCCTCTGGAGCAGTGGTTCTCAACCTGGGGTCTCCAGATGTTTCTGGCCTACAACTCCCAGAAATCCCAGCCAGTTTACTAGCTGTTAGGATTTCTGGGAGTTGAAGGCCAAAAACATCTGGGGACCCCAGGTTGAGAACCACTGCTCTGTTAGATGTTTACTCCAACCATCCAGAATCCAACTGGCAACCGTCACCCAGAGGACCTTTCCATCAGCTAGACTGGAAGAGCCCCTAGTGTATGAGGTGATCTTGAAGATAACCGAAGACCCTTCCACACAGCCATATATCCCGGAATATCAAGACAGAAAATGTATTATTATTTATTTATTTACTGCATTTCTATGTCGCCTTTCTCAGCCTGAAGGTGACTCAAGGAGGCTTACACTGGCACGATTCGATGCCACACTGAACATAAACAAAATTAAAAACAATTAACACACATTACAAAAACCCTTTAAAAAGCATTAAAAGCATAAAACACCAGTAACTTCCCATTAGCTCATTTTCCAAATCCCACAATATCTGCTTTGAACTGGGTTATCTGAGTCCACACTGCCATATATTCCAGGTCAAAGCAGAAATAAGTGGGATTTTATTCAGCTGTGTGGAAGGGCCCCCGGATGCAAACCATGTAGGGTTTTAAAGGTCATATCCAACCCTATGTATTTTGCTTCTAAACTAATTGGCAACCAGTGTGGAGATTTGAGTTTAGGTGTAATATGTTCACTCCTAGAGGTACCTGTAACCAATCTGGCTGCCATGTTTTGAAGCAGACAAGGAAATAAAATAGAGTAGCTGATGATGTTCCAGGAACAGGTCTATCCATGTCTGGCTCTTGCTAGTCACATGAATCAGCATCACTGACAACTAATGCAATATTGGACAGTACAACTTTTGTTTCCATTGAAACAATACATACAGTTTCATTTATCCATAGTTCACTTATTCACTTAGGGCCACCTGTTTAGGTTACACCATCTTCTCAATACCTTCATCATTTCTCCCATTTAAAATACTAAGGTTTACTATCATCCATGGTTTCACATATTCATGCAAAGTCCAGGAAGATATATGTTGTGAATATGGGAGTCATACTATAGCAGAAAATCTTTATTCAATCTGTATAATCTGTGTTGCCAGAGTGGTTACTATGGTACCCACAAAGAAGAAACAGCTTCCCTGACAACTTATTAATGATTATGATGGAACATCTTTATTCCATTTGTATTATAGTGTTGGGAAGAAACTAAAAGTCCAGTGGTTGCATCTGCCTACTGTCAAACAAGTTCCACAATCCAGATCACTCAAACAGGCCAGTTCCTTTCCTGGCCACCAACCAGCAAATAGCAGCCTTTTCCCCTGTGACAGTCTCCTGTCTGTCATATGAAGCAGTAGCCATGACAGAATAATTAATGCAAAACAATCCTCTTGCTGCTGAAAGGATTGCTTAATTAAGGCTATCATTCTCAACCCATTTATTTTATAAAAGCCCCACTGAAGTAATTTGGACTACTCTGGAGACAATTGATTATGCTTTGTGCCTTGTTTGAACAAATCTGAATTTCCCACAAGAAACTAGATGAAATATTGACATAGGTGATCACTCCACAATAACCAGTATTTAACAGGCCGTCATGTACAACCTGTGGTTAATCAGTGTTACGGTTTCTCTTACAAAGAAGTTACTTCTTGCTGCTCAGTTTAGAGCACAGGAGGGAATATGGGGATAAACAATGAGCAATTAGCACTATTACATGTTTATGTGTTTAGTCCATCAAGTGATATACTATGCTGCATATTATTCACTGAGGAATTCAAAGTGGTAATGCAGACACTTTGGATATCTTAATTGCAACCTCAAGTTCAATTTGAAATATGATTGATCTACACTCACCAATCAACTCTGTAGTTGAGTAAGATTTCAAATCTATTTTTCTGACCCTTACAGCACATCTGAATTCTGCAATAGCTTTATCCAGACTATCTTAAAATAGATGAAGAAGTAAAATGACAAATGTATTCATGTAATTTTAGAAATATGTGATTTTAAAAAATGGCTTCATTGAGCTGGATTGGATTCTATGTATGGAATGGTGCTGGAGTAGACAACTACATGCCTCTGCTGGATTTAGGGGATTGATCCTTGGCCATTGCATAGTAGATTTGTCTCCCTTCTCCAAGGGTGGTAAAGATTCACTATTTGTTGCTGTGACAATTTTTTTATCCACAATGTTAGCACTATGGCATCTTGTTTCAATCTCATTCACTGGCTTAACTAGTAGTCACCCCAAAGCCCTCCAATTTTTCTCTAAAAGTAATGTAAAACAGAACTTCCTCCTCATGCCAAATCATGTGTCAGGAAATGAAGGGGCGAGGAAAATCCCTCCTCCCCCACCCCGCCGTATCATTTCATCATGGCAGGAGAGCACAAGGAGGTAAGTTATGGTGGCCATTACTTTAATAGGGGGTTGGGGGGAGGAGGGAGCACCATCCTGGATCTTTGGGCTCCAGGAGCCCAAAAGGTTCAGAATAGCAATGAGGACTCAACCCCAGATAGTCCCAGGAAGTGAGATCCCACAGATCCAATACCCCATTAGACCAGGCCTTTCAGGAAGGCCCAGATCTTAATGGGGTATCTAATTAATTTGGAATAACTTGGTTATTCAGAATTAATTCATTTTTACTGGAAGTGTCGTTTGGACACCTCTGGTAAAAACCCAGACAGGTCCCAGGATATGGGCCTGTCTGGATGGGCCTTTAGATATCTTTCCTTTATCACTGACATTGACCGATATTTTTTGGGTTATTTATGGATGCATTGCCTATGAAAAATCTAGGCACTTGTGTAATGAGAGACATCCAGGTTAGTAAACAAACGGATAATATAATTAAATAAGGAGCAATTTCCAATATGCCTTCTTACCACCTGGCTATCTGGAAAACTGTATATATTTAATATTAAAATGTATAAATTAAACATTTATGAATTATTTAATGCCTACATATATATTTGTTGTTTTACAAGTTTATAAGCATATGCATCCTTGTACTAAAGGCTTTATATTATTAAGACAAAGAACAAATAGAAAAAGGACCACACTATGACTTAGGAACAAATGCACACGTTTCCTGGAAATTACATCACTGTTGAAGGACAAAGAAAAGCCATTTTGGCTAAATGAAGTTATTGATTTTTTTAAAGGTGCTGGCAAAGTTGACTAGACTTAAATCCAGGGATTAAACTGTGCAATTCAATGGAAGGAGTAAGCATTAGAAGTTGAATTTTTAATCCAATTTCAATTAAAAACTAAAGAATTTTGCTTCGCATTCCAAGAATATTTTTTTTTACAAAGGCTGCATAATCATGTAAATCCAAGCAACCTTAGCCAGTACAGCTAATGGTGAAGAATCCTAAAGCTTTAGTTTAACAACTGATGAGCCGCATGTTGCTTATCAATGAAATAAGGCAAGAACCATACTTTAGGAAAATTAAAAGGAAATCCCTTTTTCTCTTGGAGAACTGAAAAATCAGGCAACATAGAAGATGTCAAAGCCTAGAATTATACCTAATGCTAATCAGTGGCACAACTATAAACTGTGTGATTATGAAAAACTGGTTTATGGAGGAAAAATAATGTGAATCAAATATGAATGCAAAACATAGCATCTGTACCATTCCATTGGTTTAACATTCATGGGCTCTTAGGTCAATCTCTATTTTTAACCAACTAGCTATAAAATGCTGTGAAAGATGCAATCAAACATACCAGAAAGCAAACTCTTTTGAAAAATTAACATTA